TTTTTTTTTTTTTTTTTTTTTCCTTTCTTTTTTCTTTTGTCTTTGCTTTCTCTTTTGTCTCCTTTTCTTTTGTCTCTTTGTCTGCTGTCTCCTCTTCTTTTTGTATCTTTTTCTTTTGTCTCTTTTTCTTTTGTCTCTTTCTCTTTTGTCTCTTTTTCTTTTTCTGTCTCTTTCTCTTTTGCCCCTTCTTCTTCTTCTGTCTCTTCTTCTCCTTCTGTCTCCTCTTATTCTTCTTTTGTCCCCTTTTTCTTTTGTCTCCCCTTCTTTTTCTGTCTCTTTCTTTTATCTCACTATCTTTTGTCTCTTTCTCTTTTGTCTCTTTTTCTTTTGTCTCTTTTTCTTTTTCTGTCTCTCTCTTCTTTGTCTCTTCTCTTTTGTCTCTACTTCTTCTGTCTTTTTTTCTTCTTTTCTCTCTTTCTCTTTTGTTTCTTTTTGTCTCTTTTTGTCTCTTTTTATTTCTTTGTCTCTGTCTCCTTTTCTCTGTTTCTATCCGCACCCACCCCTTACACCCCTCTCTAAACAAACACCAACAAACTAAAACTGTCTCCTCCTCGCATAAACTGTCTCCTTTTTAATTAAACTGTCTCCTTTTTATCTAATGTTGTCTCCTTTTTCTTTTTTTTTTGTTTTTTTTTTGTTTTTTTATAAAGGGGCAGCAACTGGGCGCCTCGCTTGCCGCAACCCAAACCTTCAGAATATACCCAACCACCATGAAGAGTGGAGATGGATACGGTATGCTGCTGCTGCTGCTGCTGCTGCTGCTGCTGCTGCTGCTGCTGGTGTATCTGCTGCACCTGGTGCTGGAATAACTGCTGCTGCTGCTGCTGCTGGGGTAACTTCTGCTGCTGCTGCTACTGCTGCTGCTGGTGTGACTGCTGCTGCTGCTGTTGTTGCTTGTGTAACTGCTGCTGCTGCTGCTTGTGTGACTGCTGCTGCTTCTGTTGCTGCTGTTAGTGTAGCTGCTACTGGTGCTGCAGCTGTGTTGGCTGCTGCTGGTGCTGCTGCTTGTGCAGCAGCTGCTGCTACTGGTGCCGCCGCTGCTGCAAATGTTTTAGTTGTTGCTGCTGCTGTTGCTGCTGTTGCTGCTTTTCTAGTGGAGAGGACTGATCA